TATATATATATATATATATATATATATATATATATATATATATATATATATATATATAAAGGCTTTTCAACACTTCTCACACTCTTGCAATATTCTAAACGATGTTTCTAATCTCTAAATGCTCTAAAAGAACACAGAATGTCATGATTACAGCTCCCTGCTTCCTCTGCTCTTTGACACCTGCAAGTGGTCTTGGACATGCCCACTTCTCCACTCTGCACGCTGAACAGTTGATCAGCAGATCATTAGCAGCAGGTGCTAAATAATTTAAAATAATTTATTTATTTAGGCCTTGCTCAGGGGCCCAGAGTGGAGCAAATGACAGTGGAGGCAGGTGTGGGTGTTTCACCTTTTCCACCCAAATTTTGTTGTTGATGGTACCGGGAGTTAAGCCTGCAACTTTCCGATCACAGACCCATCTTCTCTAACCTCTGCTCCACCACTCCCCTAATTAATTAATTTAAAGACCGCTGAGACTGTTGAGACCTTTAAATCTTTGCTCAAATCTCATCTTTTTTCATTGGCATTTGATCCATGCAGTTTCAGAACCAGTTATACCAGATTTTTATTGTTGTATTTCATAATTAGCCTTCTTGTTCTTCTTGAGTGGTACAAGATGTACTTTTTTATTGTTCTTATTGCTTTCATTTTAATTTGACTAAATTGTAAAGCACTTTGGTCAGCTTTTGTTGTTTATATGTGCTATATAAATAAATTGACATTGACATTAAAGAAGGTGACAGGCATTGCCACTGTGTAGTCTGACGCACCTCCATCAGAATTTAGGCGTCACTCATGTCAGAGGACCCCCTTGATGAACCTGAAAATTATGCAGTTTGCTTTGCTCATGCTGCTCTCACTGTAGGAAAACATACCGCCATGCTGAAAATAATGAGCACAGCACAATGAAAGAACATTAACAAAGTGCCTCAGATAAAAACAACAACCAGACGAGGCTTACATGGAACATAATCATCACCAACAATCAAACCAGTAAAGATGATTCATAATCAAACAGTTCAGATCTTAGTTGATCAAACCATTGCAACATTTTGAAGAAAATAAATATGGAAAATTCAGAAAATTGTATCAAATACAGATGAAGGTGGCATGGTGGAGCAGTGTTCAGGTCTGTTGCCTCTTAGTGACCTCGGAGTGACCGATCCTTTATAGCCCCCAGCTGTGGAATACTTTGCCCCTGTCTCTTTGTGTGGCCGTCTCTGTGATTCCTTGAAAAAGCATCTCAAGGCATTTTTATTCTGACAAGCTTTGAGTTAAATGTTTTACTTTCTGCTTTTATCAGCTGTTCTTATTGTTTGAGTTTTATTTTGTCTGTATTCTGTATTTCTGTAAAGCACTTTGTGATTTTATCTATGAAAAGTGCTATATAAATAAAACTTTACTTACTTACTTAGTGGAAAGGTTACACACATTACATGCAAGTTACACATGCTACATGCAAGTTGACGTACCTCAGAAACAAGCTGGGCAAATATGTAACGTACGCATAACATACAGTAGTCCCTCGTTTATCACGGGAGATTCGTACCCTGAAGCCCCACGATAAGTGAAAAACCACGAAGTAGGAATATTAGTACAAGTAGTATATCAAGGCGTTTTAAACCCTTCCCACACTCTTGCAACATTCTAAACAACGTTTCTAAACTCTAAACGCTCTAAAAGATCAGCATGTCATGAACTCAGCCCTCAGCCACGCCCACTTCTCCGCTCCAGATCACAGAGGAGGGAGGAGGAGCTGCAGGAGGACATTTCTCCTGCAGTGTGGGCTGCACAAAGGCGCAGCAGGTGCTAAATAATTTAAAATATTTCATTAAAAATAATAAAAAAAACCATGCTGATCGTGCGGCTCAACCATCAATCAGCCAATTGTGTGTCATGTTCAATCTTACTTTTAAAAACTGCAATAAAACGAGTCCATGAAAAACGAACCGCGAAGTAGCGAAGGGTTACTGTATTTCTAACCTATGAACAACTTTCTTCTAACATATCTGTAACTTATATCAGACGTTTCCACAATGTATTTCAATATTTGTGCCTTAAAGGGTTAATGTTCCAAAGGAGAGGGGGTGCTAGGAGACAGAGGAAGAGCATGGAGTTGTGGAGGAGTGCCACATGCTCTGCTTGCATAAGTTATTATGCTAGGAACAAGTTATGCATATTTTACTCATGTTATATATTCCTTCATCTTGCACCAATACAGTATGTGTACGTCCAAAAAAGGCTTCCAACTGATTTTTTTTTAATCCCATCTTCAGCATATTGCCAGCATATTGGAGACAATTGTCATATGTCGGCCCAAGTTGTCTAAAACACTAAAGTGTGGCAGGGTCTTTAGCTGTCCTTTTAACTGTTACCTAACATTACCAGTTTTAATGCACTTGATGTGTAAGTATGTCTGAGATAAGTTAAACGTTCAAAGATATTCAATTTTTAAAAGGAAGTACTTTGTACAAACTTTTTCCTTCCCTGTTGCTTGAAATATGCACTGCCTGGCCCAAAAAAGTTACCACCAAAAAAAAAAGGTTACACACTAATATTTTGTTGGACCGCCTTTAGCTTTGATTACGGCATGCATTGACTGTGGCATTGTTTCAATAAGCTTCTGCAATGCCACAAGATCTATTTCCATCCAGTGTTGTATTAATTTTTCACCAAGATCTTGCGTTGACTACTAGACACTAGGCATGATGGGTGCATCACTTCACCTGCCTCTCTTCTTACCCTGATGTGCCCATCACTCTGGAACGGGGTAAATCTGGACTCATCAGATCACATGACCTTCTTCCATTGCTCCAGAGTCCAATCTTTATGCTCCCTAGCAAATTGAAACCTTTTTTTCCAGTTAGCCTCACTGATTAGTGGTTTTCTTAAGGCTACACAGCTGTTCAGTCCCAGTCCCTTGAGTTCCCTTCACATTGTGCATGTGGAAATGCTCTTACTTTCACTATTAAACATAGCTCTGCATGCTACTGCTGTTTTTCTTTGATTTGATTTCATCAAACGTTTAAGTGATCACTGATCACCATCATTCAGGATTTATTTCCAGCCACATTTCTTCCTCAAAGACGACGGGTCCCCACCATCCTTCCAGTTTTTAATAATGCGTTGGACAGTTCTTAACCCAATTTTAGTAGTTTCTGCAATCTCCTTAGATGTTATCTCTGCTTGATGCATGCCAATGATTTGACCCTTCTCAAACAGACTGACATCTTTTCCATGACCATGCAATGTGTCTTTCAACATGGTTGTTTAAGAAATGAGAAGCAACTCATTGCACCAGTTGGGGTTAAATAACTTGTTGTCAGCTGAAAGATAGTCACCCATGCAGTAATTATCCAATAGGAGGCTTGTACCTATTTGCTTAGTTAAATCCAGGTGGCAACTTTTTTTTGTGGCCAGGCAGTGTATTTAGGAATTGAAAAACAAGTTGGAGTTTAGCTTATAGTTTCTTAAAAAAAACCAAAACTCTAAAAAGTGATAAAAGAATTGTCTCAAACAATTCAGTTCTTTATAATTGTATTATGATTCTGTCGGTGTGTGTGAACCCAAGGTGCAGGCAGGCACAGTGGACTTGCAGGATAACTAAGAGTAATACTTATTGGCAGAAAAGTAGGTTGACGAGGCAGCAATACACACAGGGAGCTAGGAACGAGGAGACATGGAGAGAGACAGAACCAAGCACCTTTACAGGACATTGCGCAGACACACAGAACATAAAGACACAGACTTAAAAACAAACGCTAACGAACATACGATGGCAAACACCTGGGGAAGGACAACAGGTGGTGGAGGCAGGAGCTGATTACAAGAGGAGAAACACTGAGGAGAGCAGGACAGATGAGAGGATGACTTTTTTTCAGGAGTCCTGCGGGTCATGGGATTCCGGCAGGATTCCGGCAGGATTCCGGCAGGATTCCGGCAGGATTCCCGCAGGACAGGAGTCAACTTTAATATAACTCGCATGATTGTGATGGGA